AAAAAAACTGTGGTCATGTAATGTGGTTGTATCATAAACAGAACTGTGTGGGAAAATAAATATATTTTGTAAGATTTTCAAGAGTAGGAAGTCTTTATCATTTGCATTTGGAATGAAATCCTCAAATTTTGAAACTCTACATGATGATAGATACTGGAAAGAATGTTGGTTTGAACCAGTCAAGGTTTCATTTTTTTGTATGCGTATGTTATATATATTTATGTGTATATATTTATATATAGTTATGTAATTTTTCAGTCACATGAAAACAAAGATTAATTGAAATATTGAAATAAAATATTAAAGTGCCCACTTGAACCATGTTTTCTCTCTCAGGCATATTTTAATCATCTGTAGCCTAAATTCTGATTCTTTTGGAGTTTTTCAGTGTTGATTGTTGGAATTTCATTTGTTAAAAAGAAGTAGCTTCTATTTTGCTGGTCATATCTCATTGTAGTATTTAAGCACAGCTTTTAAATCCTTGACTTAAGATTCTTCTCAATAATTTTTAACATCAAATATCTATTAGAGTAGTTGACACCTCTTTGTCATGCAAGGGGTTTGGACAAGTGGGTAATTTTATAGTGTCACAGCAAAAGTCTGTTAGAAGTTAATTACATATACAAACCAGCAGCTAGTTTTAGCAGCTGGAGTGGTCTGTTAAACTTGGGACTGTAATGTTACAGAGATTTTGTCTTATAGTTATGGGTCCTGTCTGTTGCTTCAGTTGCCACAAACTGAAACACTCAAAGTACATCATAAGGAATAAAAGGTAACAGTTATGATGAGCTTAATACATAGCCTTTCTAGATTTGCAGAAATAAATATTAGCTACAATGCTTTCCAAATAGTCTGTGCTTCTCATCTCCCAATAATGAAGTGTGGCAGGCTGCTATTTTCAGTTCTTCTCTGATGATACTGCTTCTGCTGAGTGCTCGCATGCCACCTATTTACCCTTGGAGCAGCAATTTCTAATGCTGAGGCCTGGCATAGATATTCTCCCAGTGAAGTCAGTGAGAAGACTTTATTAGATTTTTTTTTTTTGGAAATCCCACTTTTTTAATGTACCTTTTATGCTTTTTTTTTTTTAAGGCTCCATAAACTTTTAGAAAATAAAACCAAAAAAAAACACCACCACAAAAAGATGAGGTGATTGGTGTTAATGACTTTCACAAGAATATCTTTACTTACTATTTTACCACTGTGATCATAGCTGCAGGACTGACTTGCAGGTATTTGCAGGTAGATGTCTGTAGGAAAACGTGATGGAAATAACATTAATGACAGAAATGGATCCAAGTCAGTATTGCAAATCCCCATTTTGGGGGTTTTTCACTGCTCAGAATAGTTGTCAAACCCCCAATTTAAAAACCAAAGAATTGTTTAGAAGATAGCTGAGTCAGTAGTGAACTGCTAAGAGAAAAACACAGTTCAGCATATGGATCAAGTAGCATTTGGAATATGCTCAGGATATCTTTGCTTATTTCTTTTCTGAGTAAGCAGTAAAATAACATGTGAACATTTGGCAGTGCTTCCCTTAAAAATCTGTGTCCTACTAGTGATTTTTGAGGTTATAAAACTGTGCCTCAATTGCATGAGGTTAAAAAGGGAGGAGTTTGCCCTGCAGTTCTTTTTCAGCTCAAGGTTCTCTTGATTTCACTGTGAGTTTCTCTTGCATTGAAATTCCAGTTAATCCACCTTGCAAGGCAAATGCACACATACTGGCACTCTGAAAAGTTCTAATGTTAAAAAAAGAAATGTGAAAAGTGAACAGAAAGGGCCACAGTCCTTTAGTTTAAGAAAAGAAACTGTCTGTTTCAGTATGCTCCTGTCTTCAAAGCTGTGTTTACAGAAGGGTGAAAGTTCCTATTGCAGTGAGCTGCTGATCTCCTTCCAGACCTGGCCTGTGTGTATTAGAAACAGGCTCAACTAGCAGGAACAGATTTCTTCTTTTTATATTTTTTTTTTTTCCAGATTGAAAGAAATGAGTAGGATTTATAATTGCAATTGGCTGGAAGTGCCATGGGGAGATGGAGATTTAGGTATTGTATAATACTTTGTGATTTTTTTTTTTTAACTTTGCCTGTTAATGCAGTGAATATATTTATTCATTCTTGTTAGTGTTTACAAAGCAATGTAGGCTGACCTTCCTGGTCAAATATATACCAGAGAATTTGGAACTAATGTGGCTTCTAAATATAGTCAGAGATACTTTCTGTTTGGCATCTGTCAGAGACAACATCAGTAGGGAATTAATGCATTAACAGTTTTGGAATAGAGTATGTTTGTTAATGCTGCCCTTACAGACAACAATGAATGCAAAAATGTCCTCATTAATATTCTTAATGCTTTCTGAGGGTGAGACGTAGCAAGTTTGTAGGTTAGCAGAAGGCAACAATCTAACAATCTAGACAAATAATTTTTTTTAAAATGCCTTTGATGTTTATGATACATACTTATTTTGAGTCTATTCTTGTGCCTGTGGTATTTAATGATGAATTATTACATTACTATTGTTACTATTGATAAACCAGTTGGAACGTGAAAGGTTTTTTCTGAACCCAGTTTGCACAAAATATTTCTGCAGCAGTTTGCAATATAATTCCCCTTAAAATCCCAATCACTTTGTGTAGGTTCTGTATTTTTTTTTCTGTTATGATTAGCAATAAGAATTGCAAAATATTACACTTAATAAACCTAAAGTAAAAAGTTTAAGTAAAAAATCGGGAATGATGTCTGCAGACACAGGTGATCAGAGCTTCGTGGAAATAATTCTGAAGGAGTATTGGAAGTTGGATCTTGCCTATGGTCCATCTGCTCCTGCAGATGAAAGAGTACAAGGAACTTCACAGATAGTGGATAACTGACATAATAGAAACCTCTATACATTTTTAAGGTCAGGTTTACAAACCTTTAATTTCCTCTATTTTTTTTAATGTCTGTGATCAGCTTTATGTAGTCTTATGATAGCAAAACAAAAGCACAGCTGAGTATGTAAATTAAGTTTTTGATCTCTATAGCATCCAGCAGTGCTGAGTTCCACAGCACAGTTATGTCTTCTGTGAGAAGATAACAGTCTTAACCTCAGTGTAAGTTTTGGTTTCATTCACTAACATCTCTAGGAAAATGGAGGTCTTATCTCAATTTCCATGTTGTGCACTATTTAATGTTTTTATATATGCTCCAATTTCTTTTCAGGTTGAGCAGTCTTAATCTTTTTGGTCATTCTTCAGCTGATTTGAGCGGGTTTACTGTAACTGAAAGCATCCTTTCTGAAATAGGCTAGTGGACAGAAGGAGTCCAATAGGAAACAGAAACAGGGTGTATTTCTAGTGAGTAGTTACCTTAGACTGATGATTACCAGTGACAGAGCAGTAACCTCCCCACCTAACATTCATGGCCGTGGCAGTAAGATGCAGTGGCTGGGGTTGCAGGTGGTCCTGGTGCACTGCGACGGGCAGAGTCAGCCGTCTACACGTTGGAGATTCATCTGCCCTTGCTACCCCTTCATCAGGCTTGGCTCCTTCTCTCTGTGTGTCTTCGGGGATTTGGGGGGGCTTGATAGAACTCACATGAGTGATTGTATCAGCATTTCCACAGTTCCAGTGGTTTTCTTCTTACAGGAATAAATGTCAATAATTCAAAATTTAGTCGCAAGATGGTTCTTCCCTGCACAGTCTCTCAGAACTTGATTTGGAAAATTCATACAATAAATTGGTACCAGCTCTGCCTGCAGGGGGACTGGCTAGAAGTCAGTGGCCAGCCTTCTAGAGGGAAGGGCTGAGTCTTCATCAGGAGCCACGGGATGACTCTGGGAGCTGGGTTGGGAGTGAAGGCGGGGGGTACGTGTGTGAAGGTGGGATTGTTTCATTTCTTCTCTTCCCTCCTCCCCCCCCCACTTCTTTAGGTAAAAGAAGAAGGTAAAAATTTGGGTAAAAGTTAGCTTTCTGGTAAATAGATGCCAAACCTTTACATTAAGCATATATAACTATTTTTAGCCATAATAGCCTATTAGAATGAGAACTTTAGACTTAAAGTGTATTTCTACGATAGCCGGGTTTTTTTTAGTGTGATTTTCACTGTGTTTCTCTCTTTGTACTTGTGTAGTCCCTGCAGATTAATCTCATGATACATAAGGATTTCCATATTTATTTTCATATCCAGCAGCTTTTTCAGGCAGATTTACATCTAGTTTAAGTTCAAATATCAGTTTATTGAAGTCTATACATTTCTATATGTCAGTTGAAAAAATAAGTTATATTATTTTTTTAAAAAATGAGCAATGCAAAAATAGAAATGGGAAATATGATGATGATGATGATGAATTTATTAAATCAGGTTACTGAAACTAATATATCAATATTTTGTTCTTTGTACTACATGGTCATTTATTAGACGTATTTACAGTTAATAATAGGGCAGTTTTTATTGTCTAGAAACTGGTCATTTGAAATGCAGCCCCTAAGAGGAAAACTTATTTTCGTTGACTTCATTCTGTGCGTTATATTTTCTGCTTTGCTCTATGCATTCCAAAATTCTTCTAATTCATGTGGCTTACTCAATCACTGTTGTTATTATATAGGTTCTTGGGCAGATCGCTCACCTCTGCATGAGGCAGCCAGTCAAGGACGTCTTCTTTCTCTAAAGACTTTATTGTCACAGGTGAAGGCTGTGTTCTTAAAATTGCTTTCATTTTTCATGTTACTTAATTTCTCAGCATGGATTATTAATGCAAATTTAGTATGCTTTGCTTTGCTTTTTTCACTTGAATTTTAAAGAGCAATACACATTTATGATTTTTATAGAATATGTAATTTAATATTTTAAATATTCCTCTGTATGTCTTAAAACTTACTGTCAAAATAAAAAAAATAATTACCATAGCTGTATCTAAATGTATATCAGTCTGCCCCTCTTGCATGGCCTAAGTCAATGTAGTTCCACTGCTTTAAGCCCTCAGGTAAATACAACCTGTCAGGAAGATATTTATTGAGGAGAAGAATCACTGAAAGATTCTGGGTTTTGCATAGTTAGTTATGATGTAAAAGAAAAAAAATTATTAATAGCAAAGGGAGAGACTGTAAACCATTACATTTTAATATCACAGTATTGTCACATTACATACTACAATACTGAGAAAATGATACTATAGAATACATTTGATGAAAGCCAACAGATGCAATTATTAGTTCTTAAGAATCAAACATGTACTGAAGAAAATTTCAAGAGCTTGATGATTTTCTCAATCCAAGAAGTGTTTTTCTGGATAAAATTAATGGCTTTAGGTATTTCAGATAGAATCACAGATTCACAGGACAGTTTAGGCTCGGGGCCTTGTTGAGTTTTAAAGAGCACCAAGAGTGGAGATGCACCAGCCTCTCTGGAGCCCTGTTTCAGGGTTTCACTGTCCTCACAGTGAGAATTTTCTCCATATAACTAATTGGAATGCACCATGTTTGGACTTGTGTCTGTGCCTTTTGTACTATCCCCATCCACCTCAACAGTCTGTTCCCACCTTCTTTATACCCTCTATATCCTATTCCTATTTCTGATATTTAAAAAAAAACCCAAAAGCTGACCACTTTTGTTGTGTTATATCCATTCATTGCTCAAACATTCTTTTCATGCTCACTGAAGATTTATGTATTGCAAGTAGAGTTTTAAGCCTGTTTCCAATATTGTAAATAATTCATTTGAACAGCAGGGAGAGGCAACAGCTCCTAAAAGCTTTTGTATGATCTTCATATGCAATTCATGTCTTGTTTAGGGGTACAATGTAGACACACTAACAATTGACCAAGTAACCCCACTTCATGAAGCCTGCCTGGGAGATCATGTAGGATGTGCAAGGATCCTTCTTGAAGCAGGAGCAAACGTAAGGGTTTTATTGTTATTGGTGGTTTTGTTCTTGCTTGGTTGGTTGGTTTGTTTATGAAGTCCAATGCTAACCTTGGTTTAACTGAGAAGGACACGTTCCTTGATTTTTAATTTTTCTAATTGGTATTTCTCACTACTCACCCCATTGATTGCATTGATCTTATTTAGTTACAATAAGCTGACATATCTGAAAGCTAGCAAAGGGGAGTGATGGGCAGGCACTGAGACAGAGGATGAACTGGTGAGGATCTGCTAGCAGTATGTCACCAGCCTTATTTCTTCTCTGAATTTCATTACATTATTTATCTCCTAAAATAAGGACTGTGTCCCCCTACTGGTTTCCTCTTGCTTTTTGAGTGGCTTGTGGGAGACTGTTCAATCTCCAGAATGTGTTCTGGCACACTGCACCTGAGTGCTCTTAAGATTCTTTCATCTGAGGACAAAGAAAGCAGTGGCTGTTTTCTGTACTCCTGACACGGGCTGTCTGTCTGTTACCCCAAACCAAAACGGGACTTCACAGACCACTTTCACTACAGTCTCTGCCTGTGAGTGTCAGAGTTCAAATGCATAGTTTCACAGATCTTTGTAATGGAAAGAAATATTTATTGTTCTGTTCACTTCTTGTTCAATTTTGAGAACCATGTAGAATATATGTTATTACAGAAAAAGAAAAAAATACATTGGTTTCCAAAACCAATTTCCTTCCACTTCAGTTAGTACAAGGATTCTAAAGACACAAAACTGAAATTACTCTAGACAAAATTATAGAACAAATTTAATTTTCCACTCTGATTTTTTTTTTTTTTAGTAGTTCCAGTTGTTTTGGTGGGCTTAGGGGTACATGGAAGAGGATAGGCTGGAGTCCTGGAAGGAGCCCCCTCCTAATACCTCTGCTGCTTCCTTCAGTATTATTAGCCCTCCCAAATTTGCCTAGTTTCTCATTCTCTTGCACTGGGAATATTGAGTTAACCAACAAGGAGGCAAAGTTAGTATTAGAACAGTGAGCCTGTACTATTAGCTCTGTCTCCATGCTGCAAAGTATCACTCCAACCTGGAAATTACAATTGCAGAAGAAAATGGCAAATAATACTCACATTTAATAAACTGCAAATAATACATTTAATACAAAATTTGCATTCTTGAGAGAGCTGCGGAGAGCAGGTTCCCATTATCCTGTCACTACCCAAAGTGTTTCAATGTCAGTGAAACAAACTAAGCACAATGACTTCTGGAAAGTATTTGCTGCCCAGATGCTAACGTGTGCTCTTCAGCATTCCAGGTGTATTTTGCTTTATTCAGCATAGTTTAATGAGAATAATAGTAAACTAATTTCTACCGAGGAGTGTGGTGAGAGGAAGACACAGAGACTCTACATTAACCAGTTGTTTGTGGTTTTCTTTTTGTATTTTAATGTAATTTCTAACTATATCCTGTTTGAAAATTTACCTGTCTTTCCATTCTGTTCTTACATGGATTTTCTATGTCCCAGGTAAACGCCACGACCATTGATGGAGTGACCCCTTTGTTCAACGCGTGCTCGCGAGGCAGCGCGGCGTGTGCCGAGCTCCTGCTGGAGTACGGTGCCAAAGCCCAGTGGGAGTCCTGTCTTCCCTCACCCACCCATGAGGCAGCCAGCAGAGGTAGGAAGTCAGCTGCTGAGCAAACACAGAGCTGTTTTGGTGTTAAGAGACGTGCCTGCTTGTGTCTGCAACACGGCCTACTGAAGTCAACCAAAACTCTGTCGTGCTTTGTACTGACAGGTCACAGTGAATGTCTGGAGGTACTGATATCCTGGGGTGTAGATGTTGACCAAGATCTTCCTCATTTAGGAACACCTCTGTATGTAGCATGTGTTTCACAGCAGATCCACTGCATTCGGAAGCTTCTTTATGCAGGTATGTAATGTTTGAAATAAAACTATTACTAGCTTGTAAAATAAGCATACTTTGAACTGAGCGGTGCTCGATCAGGGAAACTAGAACCCTGGCTTGTGAGGTTCTACTTCTAAGTTTATTCTGTGATGCATGTTTTTTTTTATAGTAACCTACTATGTCTTTCATTTTTTTGTGGCAAAGCAAGCATATGAGGGAAAAAGGAAACAAGACAAATAGGAGCAGATGTTCAAAATGTTTAGCACCTACTACAGCTTTGTAGCTGTTAATTTTCTGTAGGAAAAACCAAGGTAAAAAATAAGCTTTGAGAAAGGAATTTTATATAGTCATTATTGATCTTTCAACAGAAGTTTTTTAGCAATGTAGTCTCATGCCTTTTCATTCTTTAGCATGATCTGATTGATCTTTTTACAAGGTATAGAGGCTGAGCTGCAGAGAGAAGAGGTAACGCCGAAGGCATTTCAGCCTAAATTTCACTTTATTTGATCCACGGGAAGGGGCTGTTGGAGGCTCGCTCTGTTTCAGCACAGCTAAAAGATCATTTGCTGAGTTTCAGGGCATGACATGCAGGGCTTTTGTATCCTGCAGCACGATGAATGAACATGTTTATGTGAATAATTACAGACTTGTCATCATTGGACCAGAATTGTTTTTCTGGTTGCAGGTTATTTATAAGTTAAACAAGCAGTTAAATTGTCTCTCATTAAGTCGGTCTCCGTGTACGATTAACTATCCTATGTCATAGTTTTTATGTTCTAAGAACTGCATAATTAGCATATTTTAGGATTCAAATACCACCATGTGTTAAAAACAGGAAGGGAAGGGCATATCCGACGCTTGGTGGTGTCCTGATGTAGAAAAGGGTATGTTGACTGAGAATGTAACTGGCTGCTTGTGCCAGCCTGAATGTTTTCGTATTTTATCAGTGTATGAGAATGCATCAGAAGTTAAGAAGCAAATGAATAAGCAAGAAAATGATACTGTGGAAGTATTCTCAAATTGTTAATACTGAGAACAGTCAGTTATTCAGACTTCAAATCTAACGGATAGGCCTGTGATGTTATTGAATTATTTTACTCACATGAGAATTTAAAAGGCAAAAGTTGTTGATTCAGGGAGAAGAGTTGGTACAGAGGCCAGCTCCTGGTCTCACAAGATCACAAACACTCTCTTAAGAAGTCTTTCTTCTGCTAAAAGAGTCTAGAAAACTGTCGAGGCAAACCTGGGGTTAGTGGGAATAACCAGCTTGCCCATGAGGGAAGTTCCTCCATACTAGCTAGTTTTGTTTAACTCTTGTATGGCTAACTTCTTCTGAAATAGGAATGCATTATTGCAAATGAATTCAGTCCATTTGAATATAAATTAGCAATTCCTTATTAATACAAAAGTGTAATAACTAGAATTCTGTGGATTGGGAGAATTAATAGTTCATCTAAGGAAAGTCTGTTTTTACGTCGTGCGTATTTTCTTAAACATGTACAAAATCTTTTTTTTTAATTAGGGCAACAGTGACTCTCTAATTCAATTTTTCTTTTCCTTCTTTTTCTGAAGTATTTTCCTTTAAAATTTAGTTGTGCTTAGGTAATAAAACTCGGGTAAGTCTGTGGGTTCAAAAAAACCCCACTGATATGATTAGCTGTAGTGCTATCCCACAAAATTAATAAAGTGGATAAATTCACTGTGGTGTTCTGACACAGTGGAGTTCTTTTTGTTTGTTTTGTAACATCATCTTTACTCAATGACAATTTTAATTAATCTTTTCTTGTGTCTCTTTATGTGTATCTACCTACCAGGTGCCAACGTGCAGAAAGGAAAGCATTTAGAAACTCCACTCCATGCTGCTGCCCAGCATTCTAGTACAGAGATTGTAAACTTACTTCTTGAATTTGGGGCAGACATAAATGCCAAAAATATAGATTTTGAGAGGCCTGTTGATTTAGCTGCTCCAAGCAGTTTGGTGGAGAGACTGCTGCTCCTCCATGAAGGTAAGTTTTACATGTGTGGTTTTGCAAATGTAAATTGTTATTCTTGATAAACCCAAACCTTCACCCCATCTCCCCTTCTCCCCCCCAAAACCCAACAGTCCAAACGACCCATATTACAGAAGCTAACAGTGTGCTTTATGAAATGAATATATTAACATTCAGGGAAACGTCGTTCTAACTATAAAAATACCAGTAATATTTGGTCTCAGGCTAGAGCCTGGTGACCAAGTAGTGTCAGAATTTATACAAGCTGAGAAAGTATCATCTTGTGTTTATTGGGTGTTTATGCAGTTTGACATAACAGCCAATAAAAATGTAACTTTTACAGACCTTGTAAAAAGAAACAAATTTCAGTTTCAGGTGAAAAATGTTTCATTTTGGCCAGCTGACCTAATATTTTTAAATATATAGTTTTATGTGCATATAAAGCACTTTATTTTGCTATATTTTTAAAAAAAAACAAATCAAAAGCAACACATTTATTTGATTGTAGGCAAAAAGTGTAACAAATTTAACGTTCTAAATTTTCTTTACGGATTTAAGAGTCCCTTAAAACTCTTAAATGTCTGGTGCCTTAAAGTGAGAATATCCCAAAGGGAACTGGATTTTTTCAGCCTTGACCTATGTACAGCATAAAAATGAGCCAGGAAAAAGAGGTGGGGAATAAATTCTTGCACTAACCATGGGCATGTCTTTAGAGGTGACCTGACAAACAGCATTGCTTCATGTTTTCCCCTGGAAAACATCTCTATAGTCTGAATGCTGTAAAAAAAACACTTCTAAAAACAGTTTATCACAAAATTACCAAGGCTAGCAGGATTCTTAACAGCCACAGCAAAGAAATGTGTATGGTTTTATTGTGCAGAGAAACAGCAACATGTTCATTATGAGGGAAGGGGCAGGATGCAGAGGGGCATCATCAGGAGCTAGTAAGGCCGCCGAACACGGTCCAGGATTTCAGGGTATTTTGCCTGCCTATTCTTGCTGCAGGGCTGGTGCAGCTTGTAGTGCTGTAGCACCTATTTCACCTGTTCTGTGAATTAAAAACCCAAAACCTGCAGTTTTTAAAGTGGTTGACCTCAGATAATTTTGGGAGCACGTTTTCCATTTCAAGCCACAAATTATTTGCTGTCCTGACTTTGCTTTTTTGAGTACTTCCCTGATTATTAATAAGGTTTCTGCAGCCTGTCTTTGAGGGCAAAAAAAAACACAATGAAGGAAAAAGAAGGAAAAGGACAAGTCTTCAAAATGTGAACATTTTTTTTTGTGTTTTTGTTTTAGAAAGCCCATTATTGTGCAAGACTGTTGTGAAACAAAGTACTGGCTTTTAGAGTTGTCTAATTAAACCTCTGGTTTTTGTCTGCAGCCACACCATCCTCTCTTTGCCAGCTTTGCCGACTACGTATCCGAAATTACATAGGGAGAGCTCGGCTCCATCTTGTCCCACAGCTCCAGTTGCCAACAATACTGAAGAATTTCTTACAGTATAGATAGTGCTGTATTTAACCTTTAGAAACCTGAATAATAACAACTTTTTCTTCTTTCTGTTTATTGTACCTTTTATCTACAGAACTGCTGGGCGGGGAAAAATAAAAAAGCCTTTTGCATATTACTTAAAAGTAAAAAAAAAAACCCCTCTTTGACACCTGATGCTGTTATATAATAACAGCTGGGAGCCATTCAGCACCTGGCACCAAGGTGCTAATAAGGCTGGATTGAATAAGTGTGCTGGTACTCTGGGAAATGATTGTATAGCTTTAGCTTAACACTTACTAAATAGCTTTAGTGCTGTTAGTTTTAATTGTATTTATACTTCTAAAATCCGTTTCACACACCTGAACCACAGAGTTTCTTCATTATTATTTGTTAAGTTGGTCCACTTGGAGTCATTATTTTACGTTTTTAAATTTCTATTGTTTGGGTACCTAAAAATACTTGGTGATAAGTGCACTATATACATTGATAAAAATAAAATAAAATAAATAAATGTCAATTTGTCTTCTTTTTCTTTTTATAGACCATTCATTAATGATAGTGAGAAGCTTCCTTTATTTTTCCGTGCTGCCTGTGCTGTGAATCAGAATTATGTAGCTTTGAACATAAAATCTCCATTTTTTCACACGTGCACAGTTTGTAGATTCTCTTAGTACAATTCCAGAGGAATATTCCTCAAAAGCCTTAATGCTGAGATACTTTTGATCTCCTTTTGTCTGACAGAATTATCTGGGCTCTTTCCTTACCTTTTCATAACAATGCTGTATCACAGCTCATGGGCATATTAAATACTTGCTTTCCTCAGAGAAAGGCACGTGTTGCACAGTGTCTGTGGGGCTCCAGGAGGAGTATCCTGGAGATGTGGATTCTGACTCTTCAGCCTCAAGTCCAGGAGGTGGGTGCAAGGCTCCAGAAATACATCAGTTCCCTGTACTAGGACAGCTATCACTCTGAGAAGGACATTATTTCTCTTGCTGGCTACTTTATAAACAACTACCCAGGTCCAAAAATCCTGTTGCAAAATCCCAGAATGCTCTAGCGGGTATTTCTGTGATCAGGTTGAAATTTTGTCATTCAGCTCTGTAGCCAGGGAAGGAATGCTGACACCCTGAAGAGACATTAGAGAACCCAATGGTTTTCTGCCTCCCTCATGCCCTGGCACGTGGACAATGCCAGTCACATCAAAAGCAGGTGATCTGACTGCTTCACTGAAACACAAGGCTCCTCCTCTCAGTCTTTCCATTTGGTCTTCCTTGGAGAACAGATGACTTCCTCAGTGACTGACACTCAATTCCTTGAAACCGAAGCATGAGACACCTGAAAACAGACCACTTGCCCTTGGTGATTCACCCATTCCTTTGCAGTGACCCCTGTCAGTATTTATGTTCCTACTGGAAAGATGCTAAGTGAGGAACTAACTATAGAGGAAGTTTTCACCAAGCGGAACGCTTACTCGGTGGCTAAATTATATCCACCTCATAAAACTGCAGCCCTCTGACACTCGCCCTCGTTAAAAGCCATCCTCATTTGCCTCTGTTCCTCGCAGAAGCTGCAGTGAGGGCCCCTTGTCAAGCCCACGTGAAGGAAAGTTCAGAGGCAAGTCAGGGGAACTGCTTAGGAGTCTGTAATGTCCACAAGGGAGCAGGTTCAGTGATTTTAGTCTTCATCCAGAGACTTGCCCTTTGTGGTTTCCATGTACTGTGGCAGTACTGTGTATTACTTCAAGAAACAAGGAAACACTATGGCACCGCTGAGCTTTCCTATGTAGAATGAGATCATTTACACCCTCACCTTCAGGCGTCCAACGTGCTTTTCAAGTTTGACTCAGGAAAAGTGTGTTTAGAAAAAGCTACAGTTGATGGACTCAGATGAGTTTTCAGCCAACGTGGCCATCCTGCAAAACACTCGTTTGAAACAAGACGAGGTGTTGGTTTTGTTGAGAGCCACATCAGAGCCCAAGCCATCAAAGAGGTGTGTTCATGTTCTCGTGGTGTTTCCCACTGTTCCCACCATTCCCACTGATCCTTCCTGTCACCACAGAACCAACGGGACCATGTGAAGAGTTTACAGGTGGACTAGCCCAGAGAGTAATCCAGCACTAATTTACAGGAATAGGACTTCAATCTCAAGCAATATGCATCATCTCTCACTATAGTCTTTAGTCTTTTGATACCAGGTAAGTCTATGAGAACAGAGTTCCTTTGGCAAGCCGAGCCCAGCTGGAGGGACATCACTTCTGTTACTATGTAACGGGAACAAACAAAATAGGGGCTGCATGTTGTTGCCCTGGCAGGACTGTGTGTTGGAACAGGTTTCTGTCAGATGAGGCCATGCTAATGCCACATACCAAACATACATAGTAATCAACTACCTAACATCAGTGTTTAGTAAAATTCTTTCCAAAAAATGACCCCTTGTTTAGCCAGAAATTAAAGGAAACAGGCTTGTTATTATTCACATTAGGTGGGAACCTCATTGCAATGGGTTGGATTCTTGGTATGAAATAGATGTTAAGTAATGAATTAAAACCATAGAATGGCTTGAGGTTAGAAGGGACCCTGGAGATCATCTAATCCAATCTCCCTGCCATGGGCGGCGATGCCTCTCAACTAGACGAGGTTGCTCAAGGCCTCCTCCAACCTGTCCTTAAACACCTCCAGGGAGGGGGCATCCACAGCCTCTCAGCGCAATCTATTGCAGCATCTCTTGTACTGCTGCACTTGTTCCT